TATGTATGTATGTATGTATGTATGTATGCATGTATGTATGTAGGTATGTAGTATGTGTATGTATGTATGTATGTATGTATGAATGTACGTACGTATGTATGTATGTATGTATGTACGTACGTACGTATGCATGCATGCATGCATGCATGCATGCATGCATGCATGCATGCATGCATGCATGTATGTATGTATGTATGTATGTACGTATGTGTATGTCTATATATATATATATATATGATTTTGTTAGTACATGCGTGTAAGTATCTGTTTATACTCTTATACAGATTAACGCACGCTGATAGAGTAAAGTACTAGCACAAAAGTATATGCAGATGAAATTCAGAGCTGGGGCACACGAAGTGGTAGAGTGAGAAGCCCAGGCCGATCCCGAGCAGCTTCACCAGTGGCAGTACGAAGTAGTTGGACATCGCCCAAAGAGCCTCGGACCGCAGAGGTTTATGGTTTAGGGTTTAGGGAGGTTCATCTTACTTCTCATAGGTAAGGTCTGCTTCCGAAGCACTTTCGGACCTAGTCTCCGTATCTTATATTCAAAGGTGAGCCCTCACACCCCAACAACCTCCAGAAGCCGAAGCCTTAAACCACAACGCGGAAGTACAGCGCTCAGACCACTAGCTGCTAAACTGAGCCCTCCGGCCCCGCCAAAGACGACCAAGGGTGGCAGTCCGCGGTCCTAGCGATTCTTGAGCAGTCATATCAGGGTCTTTCCTCTTGGGGAGTAGTAGGTCGAGTATCCGCACCTAGAAGTCTCTTTGGTGACCTTGCCTCTCCAGAATCAGGGATGAGGGAAGTCTTGAGCTTTCATGAGGCTGTTCGGCTACTAGGCTGCAGCTCGATGGGATCACGCAGGGGCCACCAAGCAGTTACGGGCTTCATCCGAGATAGCCTCTGCATGTTTAGTCACACTTGCATGGAAACATGAAAACATAATCTTATAGCAGTAGATTGCCGCATAGTGCAGAGATACTCCGGCTTGCAATACAGATGGACGGATGGACGGAATGTAGGTTCTTCTCTGCCGGTTCAGATTGCAAGCTGGTCCAGCTCGCCAGCGGCGATAGCGATGACGAAGCCAACCATGAGGATGCCGTTGCACATGAACCACTGGAAGGACGTCCCTTCCTGGGTTGAGGGTCTCAGGGTTGGGACTGAGGGTTTAGGGTGCCCTCCACAGTGCAAGGCATGCGCCGAGGTGCTAGTAACTACAGCAGATGTGAATCGAAGACGGCAGAAGATATTGAAGCTGAGGCTGATTCGAGGCCCTCTGTCTGTGGGCCGACCCGTGACAGCACGACAGCTGAGCTCCGGTCAAAGATCTCGTACTTCTTGACCTCGGATCCAAGAAGGGTTTGGGGCTTCGGGGCGTCCCTTAAACAGCCATAGCCTACAAGAATCTGTCTATGGGCGCTACAAACAAGTAGGCCATGGGAAGCTCGAAGTAGGGTTACGGAGAAGAGAAAGGGCCAACCCGTCAGGACACCACCACCCATGCCCCGGAAGCCCGGAAAGCTCCCCCAGCTTTCAGAGCCCCAAGAAACGGTCCTTCAAAGGCAAGGCCCCTTCTTGTAAGCTTTCATCAGAACAAAGGCCTTACCGACCAGACTAGTCTCCTTGAAGACCCCAAAATGGAGACCGAGTTGCCCCCTCTTAAAATTAATCCCCCTGCAAAACCCGAGATACATATATATATATATATATGGTACCCCCCTCATGTGTACATATATATATATATATATATCCTCGACCCTGACCCCTAAACCCCAAAACCCAAAGTTGCCCCAAAGCCCCCAAGGCTGTAAAAGATTGAAGCAACGAGTGGCCGGTACATACTGGATGCCGAAGGCGATGGCCGCAATCAGTGCAAATAGAAGGCCCAGGGCACTGTCGCTAGCCATGGCGCAGGGAGGAGAGGGGTAGAAGCTGTACGCTTGAGGGTGTTGGAGCTTACGGTTTATGGTTGAGGATATGTTGAGTTGCATACAACTGCATATTTGTGCTGGTCGTTCTTTGCTCTTTGTTGTAATTGCTCCAGTACAGTATGTTGCAGCTGTAGTTGGGCACGATCTGTATCTCGTATCATGCGTTGTCTGGGCACTACGCTGTGATAGCTCATTTACAGCAGGTCTACATGGCGCAACGAGTTATACTGGCGCAGAATATGGCATCGGTTTGAACAGCCTTCTTATGCACGGAGATCAAGCACTGAGGTGTCTCCCTTTTAGGAAGTCTAAGCAGCTCTGCCACTCAAGCCACGCGGCTGCAAGTTGGGACAGTTGGACCACCTTGAAATGAGATTCAAGGTCCGAGGCGCCTCAAAGCCCTGATGGCATCGTCCTAAAGCACTTCTCTCGCTTAGTTCCATGACCTTGGATAACTCAGAAGCCGACGGGGGCTGCTGGCGTAGTGGTGACTTGGCAAGCTCCTGCAGAAAGGGCTTCGGCTTAAGTTCACAGTCCTTCCGGGCCTCAAATTTGGGTACCTGCGGAGCTGCCCAAAAGGGCGGCAGAGGCACGGAGTCCTCTGGAGCATGGCAAAGTAGATGAGGAAACGCCTTGGTACATGAGAACTGGCCACAGGTTTCAAAGGGTTTCACTTCGCACACATCACCACACACGTCCATGGACCACACTCCGGTTAGCAATCGATGGCAGATGTCTGAACCCGACCCAAACTACTGCTTCCAGCTCAAGTCAACCACAATCTCGAACAAACTGCAAGAGCTGAACACTCCAAATCTTTCAGGTCATCTCATCCAACCTGCTGCTTGGACAAAACCTGCACCCTCGAGTTCTCTGGCTGGTGCCGGTGAGGCGGTCGGCCAACGAGGAAACCGGTGCGGCTGCCCCTGCCAATAGCCAGGACAACTCTGCGGTGGAAGCACGCGTTCAGGCCTTGCCCTTCAACCTTACCGAGCATGTGGCAACTTCGGACTCTACACAGCAAATCACCATTCGGTTGGTGAAGTGCATCAATCTCCACGAGAATCCCATCCTAGATCCTAGGCGGCAAAGGATGAGCACCAATATAGACCCAAGATCCAACCACAGACTTGCTGAATAAGGGACCCCCAGTTTTCTGAAAGCCCCATCCCAAGTTGCTGCCCTAAACCCTAAACCCTAAACCCTAAACCCTAAACCCCTGCCTGGCCATTCCGGGAGATTTGCGGGCAAAGAGCGCAGCTCCGAGGGCGTCGTGGGGCGCAGCTTCCCGCAGCTTCCACAGAACAGGGCCCCCTCCGGCTCGTACCTGGGAGGACTTCAGCGATGAAGGAGAGGGTTTAGGGTTTAGGGTTTAGGGTTTAGGGTTTAGGGGTTTAGGGTTTAGGGTTTAGGATTTAAGGGAGAGCATTAGGATACTTTGACGCGTGATAATGAGTGGCACTGTTACCACTTGTAGTGGCATGGCTAGGTCAGGTCATAGTAGGTTTCACGTTGTCGAAAGAATCTTTGCGTGCGGTACTCATGAAAACATGCGGAATCCTACGTTTCACAGACAAGCAGACAGCATGGCATCTCAAGAGCCTCAAGCACAAACGGGTACGCCGCTCGTTTGGCAGTCTGGAACTTTCATGGAGGGTCTGCCTCCTGCAGAAACATCTGAGGCTTCTGCGGGGTACCGCAATAAGGACAATTAGGCGAGGCAGCCGGCGGCGGCTCTGCCTGATTCGTAAGCATGGAAAGTGAGTCGAAGCAGAGCTAGTCACGAGTTAAGAGATAAGCGAATGTGAACATGCAATGGCCCAACCGGTGCTCCTTGGGCGATTCTTGCCGGAACGAATACTTTCCTTGAGGGATTCTTGCGGGAGCGTATGTCTATTTCTCCTCACCACTATGCGATTTTGCATTCGAGATGAGCCGTTTGAGAGATAATAGTTGGAATGCCAAGAGGCATCACGGTGGACCCTGATACAGTTGCTTCACTCCTTCATACCCGTCATCTCTTCAAAACGTCAACTCCGCAAGCCCTATTGATTCACAAACATCAAGCAGGCCAGCGCTCACATCATTCCTTTACAGAAAGATCACCAAAGTCAACTTGTTCTCCAAAAGCTACGATTTGGCTTCCGAGCTCCTGACTACGGGAGCTTGCGGCTGGCTTCTAACTGGCCATGGCGACACCGGAAGGCCTGCGCGGCATGAACGAGTTTGGGGTTTGAGACGGCTTGGGTCTAGGATGGCCCAGATTTTCCCACTGAAGCTTCCCAACTGCTACGGGGCTCTGCGCGTTGCTGCGTCCAGCAACTGCGGTCAATTGCACAGAAGACCAATTCGCCTGTGGATGCCAGCGACGGCGCTTTGCCTGACAACGGATGGAACGAAACCTTACTTGGCTTTTCACGACGAAGACGACAAGGGGGGTAAGAATGCAGAAAGAATGCAGCAGAAATGAGAAGAAGATGAACGACAGTTGTCAGGTGATTGCTTTACGCCTAATTGTCAGCAGGAGCTTGACAACACTGGGGACGCTAACAGCTGCAACAATCTGCAAGGATGGGAGAGAATGCTGCTGCCCGATTTCTTCGGCCCACGCCGTCTGGAGCAGGCTGATGCTCATCACTCCCGACACTCTTGCAGAATGGACCTACGCTCCGGGCTTCAACTTCGTCCGTCAGGCCACAAAACCGTAAACCCTAAACCCT